ATATTGTTGTCATTAAATTACATATCAAATATCATTCTCCATCAAGGATCGTCATAAGTTGATAACAATTATACAAAGTATGTCAATGCGGTAAAAATTAGAATAAAAATAGAAAATGCTCAACATCGTTAGAATTTTAAGTCTTAAATTCATTTACAGAGTACAAAGGATTTTTCAATAAAAGGTCTGTCAGCCGGCGCCCAAATGTTTCGTCAGACGCCTCAAGTCTGATAGTAGCGGGTAAACGCTCATAGTAAGTAGGTTCGATGACACGCGGGTTTTTCTCTGCAAGTGCCATGCGTCGGGGGACTGTTCTCAAATGACCGGTACGGCGAAGTGGGATGCCAGAAACATTTACAGTACCAAATGAAGAAAGATTATTTCTAACGCACATTATAATTTCGAGTGCGTCATTTGCGTTGCACTACAAAGAGATTTCTGCAGGAATGTCTGTGTTTTACCCCAACCAATACGCGTACGGCACGTTTTTGCATTAGCATGACTCTATTGGCATCCGTGGAGTTACCCCATATGAGTGAACCGTACGACATCAGCGAGTGGAAATGTGCAAAATAAACCTGTCTTAATGCAGAATCAGAAATGAGCAATTTCAGTTTACGCAACGCAAAGACTGCACCACACAGTCTGTCAACACGGCACTTCCAGTTAAGGTTCGAGTCCAGAGTGAAGCCAAGGAACCTACTCTCATTGCATATCGGCATCGGACTGCTTGCTACACACGGAAGAACTGTGAGATTTCGACCCGAGAAAACCATGATGATGGATTTAGTGATATTCAACAGCAACCTATTCGATGAAAACCACCTCTGGATATGTTCACACGCTTCATTGAATCTGTCTCCCAGCTAATCGTACGTGCGCGCGCTAACTATGACTGTTGTGTCATCTGAAAACAGTACGGAGAGGCCGGCTGTGATGGCAGTGTTAAAGCCATTTATATATAATAGAAATAGCGTGTTTCCTAAGGCAGACCCTTGGGGAACTCCTAAGTTCACACTACCAGCAACGGACTCCAGTCTTTTACCGTTCGACGATAATTTTACCACTTGCCTCCGATCCGATAATAACGAGGTGAGAAGTTTGTGGCTCTTAATGATGTAACGTATCCAACATTAGTTCATGATTAATCACAGCAAAGGCCTTGGACAAGTCACAAAATATGCCTGCCATTTGATACTTCTCATCCAGACCGGTAATTAAGCAGTCAAATTTTATGTTCCGCGGTAATTGTAGACATCTTCTGCCGGTATGCACATTGCCTATCCGTCAACAATTCATTGTCCTCAAGGTGGCCCATTATGTGGGAAGATAGGATAGATTCCAGAATTTTAGATATAGTGGGAACAATCTTTATTGGTCTGTAATTGTTCACATCACACTTGTCACCCTTCACCTTGAAGACAGGACACACCTTGGTACTCTTGAGCACAATCGGGCTGCACACCGGTTTCAAAGATAATATTAAATAATACTACTAAAATGTCTGAGATAAATGGCCATTTAAATAACAATATATTTAGTGATATGTCATATTTGTCAACAGTTGAATGAAATGTGTTATAATACTGAGCTTCTAATTTCAAATGTGAATAAATAAAATAATAACAATAAAAACTAGCAAAGTAATTCATTATTTATTTATTTGCTTATTGACAAATAATTAAAAAACTCAAAACGTAAAAAAACTTAAACTAAAAACAAATTTGGGTAAAAACTATAACTACAAAATCCCGCCGATTTGTTTCTGAAACTTTCACAAAGTAATTCATGCGCCATTGAAGACTTTTTATTAATTCTAATTTCGGTTACGAACACGAAGACAAAGGAATTTAATATCAGGCAATCCCAATGCCTAATTTTCCTTAATTAAAATGTTGTATAAGTCTATTTGTTTATTAATAACTTGTCGCGACAATAGCTGTTACTAATTTCGTAATTTTGAAAAGTGACAACACTAGCCGTAGGGCATAATGTGAACGTAAATTGCAATTCGGACGGAAATATGTTATTTATAAAGTCGTTGTCGTTGAGTTTTAAATTCAATGTCGTAATATTTTTTAAATAAGTAATACCACGTGACGGAGCTAACATGTCGTGAGTTTGGTGGTAAGCAACACGCCTACCTATAATAGTGGCAGTGCCACTCAGAACTTTAGATCGCAAAGTTTTAAATAGAAATGATCGTTTTTTGTCAACATTGTAAATTATGTTTATTAATACTGCAAGAGGTGACAAATTAAAAAATAATTTTATCACGGTCAATAAAATTATAATATATCGCTGCTTCACAAAAATATGGGCCCAAACAAAAGTTTGTATTTAGAATATACTTTTCATTTTATTTCATTGATTAAAATAATCACGTAACATTATTGAGCCAGTATATCATCAGTGTTGTGCGTAAGCGACATTGTGAAGATTTTTCAGAGAAAATGTTTTACTTTCTAACAACTGTTTTAAAATATTTAAATCCGAAAATTTCATTTTATAAATATTTTAAAATAGTAGTTAAAACCAAAAACATGCTCCCGTGAAAATCAAAGAAATATAACGTTCATCGCCTTTACAAGCCAGGCATTTATCGTTTTTTTTTTTAAGTATATTCCTAATCAATTTGTTGTTTTTGAGATAGTACGCTATTCTAGAAAGCCATCGATATGTGACTATCATACATTAAACTAAATTAAACAGTAATTAGATGCGTACTTTTTGTTATGTACATACAATGGCCGGAAAAATGTGTTCCACATAATTATATAGATATAGCTACAAGGAGCGACATAGAGTTGTTAAAACCACCAAATGGATTTCCGAATGAATGAAACTCCTTTTTATTCTATTTATGAAGATAAATAGCCGTACATGGGTAGGGCCGTCAAAAATGTAAAAAATGTATAAAAAGGATTAAAATAATCTAGTGGTTCGAATTTATGAACATCTGTTATCTGTGTTTTTTAATTCAAATAAAATATTTTTAAAGCGCGATCACAGCGATTGTCATGCAAACTAAAATATCCTAAAATTCGCCTCGTGAATAAAATTTTAAATTAATATTTTTCCTTAAGTTGTACTAGCAAATGTCGCCGTTCCGTCAGTGTGACCGTCAACATGCGGTATCTAAAGCTAAGGAGCGGCGGAGAGTTTTCATTCTCGTTAAATTTTTATTCTGTTTTGGTAAAAGCTTACCTACTACATTTTTTACAAGGCATCATGAGAATTACTTTCAAATCCAACTTCGACTTCCTAATAGTTTTGTTCTACGATGCTGTAAAACCATTTCCGAAAACCCGGAATTCGAAACAAAAAAATAATTAATATTTGGTGGTTTTAACAACTCTATGTAGCTATCTATAGATGTATCTATACATATATGTGGAACACCGATCATTGGTTATGTATTTATATTAACTTGTTTTCTTTTTGTTAGCTTGTTATCACTGTAGATCAAACCTTATACAATTTTCGAACGGAATTGCTTAGCCCAAAGTCTATGTACAAGGTGCGGTATAGAGTCACCAGCTTATAAGAACACTGGTCGCTAACGCGGGAAGTATCTTTTCCCTATACATACACATATCTCTAAATCCAAGCTTTCTATTGACTTCTAGATTTGTTTTTATTTAAACATGCTTTGAAGTTAATACACTGCTTTTACGAAGTATATTTCGGGTTCTGAAAAATTATCTAAAAATTGTGTGGCAAAAAAAGAGATGCCAGCGCCATCTATTGATTAACGACGTCCATTTTCCTGCACATACCCTGCAAAATGTAACCTATGGCTTAAACCCAGATGCAAGAAATCTTTATAACTTGAAAAATAAAATGCAATTGTACAGGTAGTGACGAGGCCAAATTTTGAATTTGGACCTGTGACCTGAGATAATGGAGGCATAGGTCCTCATGTTAAGTCTTTTCTTTTTTATTTCATATTATTATGTATGCTTATGAAAACACAATAAACGTGTTAATATCTTTTCTATCAATCTATGATTGTTTAGGCTACATTTATCGTAGAAGTGACGTGCACTATGATTTCCTTCGCTGTATTATGCTTCCAAAATATGGTGAGGATATAAATCTTATTTTACAAACCAGTTTAGTATACAGCTAGAACTCAGTTTGATAGTAAATTAGAAGTATACAGTATAAGTGTGTGATTGCATTGTGTGTCAGTGCGTTGCGAAATTAGATCGTGCACAACTGATCTTTTGATGTCGCAATCGATCTACGTGACACCATTGCTTAGTTACTTCTGGCATTTGCTGCTTTTTGCGAAGCTTACTTCGATGAACAGACTATTGATATTAACCGACAAAACAAAAGACGTACGATAAATGTGTGAACGTCTGTATATTTATTTCAAACAACCCTACACATGACAAAACACATTTTAAAACAAATCAAAAACGCCCTACATAATGTTCAGAGCAAAGATAACGTAGAATTTTTATGCTACAAATTTTCTTTAGGGCGTCCTCACTAAGACCGGTTAGCCTACAGTTACATACATTTCAAAAGTCGTACCTAGTGTTATACAATGACAATACAAAACATTAAATAATAAAAGGAACAACAAATAAATAATTGGAATAAAAATCAAAGATAAATGCTGCGTACAGAAAAAATAAACATAATTTATTTTGGAATGTGTTATAAATGTTCAGTGAATTTATTAATGAAGCAAGTTAGGATATTGTCAGTCTGCAGATTTAGGGAAGATAAGCAATAGGATCTGGAACAAGGAAGAAAGGGTAAACTAGGACAGGAAATTTTTATTTAACCTTCGATGACCACTACGACATAAATGGATCTACCGCTGAAAACCATAAATACAACTTAAAATCTCCAACGTATTTGATGTGTTTATTTGAAAAAATTAAGTTGGTAAACTCAAAGAAAGTACCTACCCTGTCAAGATCCTAGTTTACTACATACACAATACATAACTAAATATTGTATTTATTAATTTTAGTACTTACAATATCTTCTGGAGTAAGGTGTACGCTTCAGCTGTCTCCCGACCTGGATGGACTGAAGCAGCTGTTCGCGAGGAGTTACTTCTAATCGCGGCGGCGGCAGCTTACGTTCCGACGCCTGTGCAAGCAGAGTATTCAGTAAATAACTCAGGTTTAAGTATCTAGTCTGTTCCATGCAGAACATAGGTTTCCCAAAGTTTTTGTCTCCCGTCCACTTAGCGCGTTCCGAATCCGAGACTACACAAATCTAGAAAACTCGAAAAAAAAAACGAAATATCGCTTGTACACTTAAGACCCATTTAGATGGAGAGAGTTTATCGTCTCGAAGATACGATTATCGAAAGAATATAAAAAACTTTCCTCGTCTAAACATACGCGATTATCGACCGTCCACGCGAGCGATAATCGCCTCGCCTTTCAATATTGAACGTCTCCGTGTAAACAGAGCTCGAAAGCAAAAATCGTATTTCGTGTTTCTGTGCCAGCCGTTTCTACCACCAGTGCCATGCGCGAGGGTGTTTTGATTATCACTGCTTTTCTAAGACAAGAATTAATGAAACGAGAACGAAAAAAAAATTTCGGTTAAGATATGTTGTAAAATTTGAAAAAAATATATATATATATTTCTATACAGTGCAATGAACTTAATATTATCAGCAATTCCAAATTTGAATGATTTTTGCGTCATTTCGATATATCCATAGTCAATACCGCAGTAATCACTGAACTCGAATGGCAATTCTCGCACGCAAAACGGTTCGAACCGATTTGTACGATAATCGTATGAACTTGAAAAAATGTCATACGAGATCGTGTTTAGACAAGTCGAAAACTCGTAGGCAAGAATCTCCTTACTACATATTTCTCCGCGTAAACAGTCGAGGAGGCGATTATGTTGCTTGCGAATCTCGTATGATCGTAGGCGAGATTTTAGTTCTTGCCTGAATGTAAACATTATGATACGATAATCTTACGATAATCGCGTACGATTTTTCGTCACGAAGCGTGCGATAAACTCTCTCCATCTAAATGGGCCTTAAGAAATAAAATGATCCCTGTGACATTCCGGACCGTCATTTCTCGGATTCCGAACTGATACGAATGGGACGTAATGCACAAACGCTCTAAGGCAAGATAAAAAACTTTCAACGCCTGACACCACAAAAAATAATTGAAAATACGTATTTTTTATATTAACACAAAAAAACCACAATGAAAAAATTATATGCCTATTGAATTTGCATGTATATGAAATTGCATGCCTATTTTTATACCTATTGATTTGTTAAGCATGTTTCAATAAAAAGTATCAAGATTGTTTACATTTAGTTAAGTACATAAACAAATGGACTATAGTGTAGTTTATATATAGATAATTCAGGTTTTTTTTTTTCCGAGGCCTCTAAAAAAAGACATGAAGTTTCCTACATACATGTCCCGTAGTACTTCGTATAAGACGACAGAAATACTAGCACTTTTGTGTTAAATCTCTTTCCGAATTGAGAGCTCACAACTTAACTTTTTATTATTTATATATACAAATATATAATTTATATTCAGGGATATTTATATAAGATAAAGAAGTATTTTTAAAAATGTTCTATTATTAAAATCATGCATTAAAGAAACTAGTGGAAATAATATCAAATAGCATAAGTACCAAAGCTGTTGCGTAGGTATTTTCAAGCAATCAAAACTTTATGGTGGCGAAAACTAAGCCTATGTTATCCATTTCTCGATATAATAAATCTATAAATAAATGGCGTCTAGGTCGTTATCTTTGTCTCGGGATAATAGTGAGGTTAGTATGCTTTAAAAACGATTGTAATTTCAATAATCTCAATTTCAATATAATTTAATTAGACAGGGTTATTGTCGCCCGAAACAAATGATTTTTATTTTTTTATTTTTTTTTAAAGAAAAAATCCAGGCACTTAATTTGAATTCTATTTACCGTAAAATACGCTTTAAACAACAATAAACATTTACAGTACATACCAGTGTCGTTAATACTTGTAAACTTATTCTTACATTACATACTAAGATAACATAGTGTTGATTATATACGATTATCAAAAAAAATTAGACAATGAGCAAGCACCATTTCGTAAAGAAATAACCCTTATTGAAACCCAGTAACGTTTATTATTGCTACCATCAAAACTCATCGTACCACATCTTATTCTTTAAACAGTTACTATACTACACCAAACAAGCGTTTCCGTAGTTCCGCATTTCAACGTTAGATGGCACTATTTTCAATTATCTGATTTTTACGCACGATTTTGATCTACGGATATATAGCTACAAGAAACACCCACTTCAGACTTCCACTAATTTGTTTAATTCATGATTAGACCATTATTAATCAGTACGTATGTAGATAGATCCTTTTTGTATTAGATGTGTAAGTTCTTACCTTCTTGAGAGGCGGTCTACTTCTAATAAATTCGAGAATCATTGCGTGAGCGTCCTTCTTTACACTGAAAGCAATAACAATACGTTAGTACTCAATCAAAAACGTGTATATACATATATTTGATAAAAATTAAATTTGATTACCTATGAGGTATCGCTCCGTCAACTTTCCTTAACGTATATCTTCTAGACCTGATGTCATCCATTAAAATTTCATATGGAGTCAATTCGTATTCTATAGGAGTTCTTGAATAATTTACTTTCTTTAGTTTAACACCCATGCGTAGTTCTCCAATCACTTGCACCCAAAACCGCGCCTGTGAAAAATTGTAAAGCAAAGACTTCAATAGAATAACATTGCTATTTAACTAACGTCAGGCGCTCTCATAGCATACTTTTATTTCATAGATAAAATATACATGTGGCATGCATAATAAAGTATTTTAATTGTACATAATTCAATTGCTGAGATATATAATAGTTTTAGTTTTATATATACGTTATATAATGGAATAAAATATAATGTAAGACAATGCATACATCTAAATAGAAAGCTGTTGCACAATTCTACCTACTTGTAAAGCTCTCCATATCCGTCGGTTAGACTACAATCGAAAAATTATTTGTTAGATATAGGTACAAGTACATATAACACAGCTGTAACATACGGACATTAATTTATTATTACTATGAATGTAAGTATATATATATAACCATTGACTTACAAATAAATGGACGACGGGTCTAATACAAAAACCACGAAAAAAATGTCCCAAGTCAATATATTCGAAATTTAAATTGTAATGTCATCGCAGTATCGCGCTGTCAGTAGAACAAATGAAGACTGTCGCGCTCTGTATACGATTTTAGCGCCTTACAAGTGCGGACACTTTTTAGCGCGGACCCGACGTCCATATAATTGTAAGTCAATGTATATAACAAATATTTTATGCAAATAGATAAGCAGCTAATATTCATAGTTTATTAATAGGTAAATTAATAATAAAATCAGTTATTAAAATACTTAGACATTTTATAAGTTTTATAGGTTAAGTTTAAGATTGACATTTAAGATTTACTTTTTTTTATTGCGATTTTTTGTGAAACACCGATTTTTTTCTCTAATTGAACGCGTTTTTCTGTGTGTTCGATCTTGAACCCATTAGGTTAAGATCCAAAGATTGATGTTCACTGGACTCTACCACAGTAAGTGCTTCATTTTAACAGCAACTATATTTTCCTTGGCTTAGTTGAACAGAGAGAGTTGAAGTTGAAGACGTTGGTCCGAATCCAGCTAGATCGAAGGAATTTTTTCTAAGTATACGATCATTATATTAATAATTATAACATGGTGGTGAAACATCCCTAATAACTATGTTTTTCATTAAACAGTCCACAAACTATACGGTTTTGAGTCAATGCAATATAGATGTGTAGTCGTTTTATTGTACTTGTTTTTGTAATCTTTTTGATATGTAGTCATTTTGTAACCATACATTTATGGTACAATTCTATCTGATAAATATTCAGTAACAGTAAAGCTTCTTGCAAAACATATCATCTTGGGAAATACTGCCACTGTACTGCCGTCCACTAACTACAACGCGGAAATAGAAAAAATAGACCACAGAATTCTCTTTTGAAAATAGTTAAAATCTAGTTAACGTGTTAGACTTATCGGAACCTAACTGGGCTATAAAACTGGGCTATGGTTTTTTATGATGTCTCAAAAAAAATATTTTGTCACTTAGTGACACACAGTGGCGCATTACCCCTCAGGTCTTTGCGATTTAAATCTCTTAATGGCACATATTTGCCTATGTAATATTGTGCTACAATTATATGCTTACCCAATCAGAAAATTTTAGAGTGTCCAACTGAGTAGCAGAGTCCTCGGCAGCGCCGAGGTCTCTAACACCACTGACCCGCACTCTGGCGAGGAATGAAGCGAGTTCGAGCGCCTCGGCGACCAGCGCCCGGCAGACGGCGCGGTAGTGCGCGGCTGCGCGTGCGGTGTCGCGGTCGCGATCTCGCGCATTCCGGCCTCCAACACCACAATGATACACGCATCGCTGGAAATAACAATATTGTAATAAGGTTTACTATAGTGAACACCTTTCAACCTGTTACTTCAATTAGGTTTACGACGTGGTATCTTTTATTCTTTTATCTATTATTTTCAGTCAAAAATCCCATATTACATATATACAATATGACAGAACACATACAACAATAATGTAAACAAAATAACATATAAGAGTAAAATCATTGACTTACAAATAAATGGACGACGGGTCTAATACAAAAACCACGAAAAAAATGTCCCAAGTCAACCTATTTAAACGTAGTGACATGTCAAGGAATATGAAAAAGCTAAAACGTTGAATTTAAATTGTAATGTCATCGCAGTACTGTCTGATTTTGCTTGCTTCGCTGTCCGTCGAACAAACGAAGACTAAAGCGTGAATGACGCTCTGTATACGATTTTAACGCCCTATAAGTTCGGACACTTTTTAGCGCGGAATCGTCGTCCATATAATTGTAAGTCAATGAGTAAAATAAAGTAATAATAAGATATGACCCGCACCGGTCTTCGTCTATCTCCTGTTTGCATAGCGGTGGATGGAACGTTAGTACCTAAAAATTGGACAAGACCACAAGACGTATCGGCGGAAATAGCTCTCAGTATGCCGTTATCAGAACAACAAATCTGTCCCAAAAGGAAGCAATACGAGCCCAGACACCAGCAAAGAAGTCAGCCAATCCCTTCTCGGCGAACATGTTCATCATAGTTCATTAAACATCTGTATCAATGAAATGGTTTTGTGGTTGCGTAAGCTTTGAAGTTGCCTTTTGAAAATAAAATAGTTACTCTCTTACTGTAAAGTAAACTCATATAGTCATCTGACGTATTTATTACGGGACACGGGCGAGAACATTTTCTAGAAATATTTGAAATATCTCTAATAACAATCAAATGAAACTGATTAGGAATGAGTATTTTTATGAAACGATGTTTAGCCAATCGTTTTTCGAGTTCACGAGCCGGTATCTCCTGTTTTCATGATCAATTATAAAAACAAGTTGAATTCGTTTTTTTAACGTCTAAAAACCGATTTTCCGTAGTCAATATTTCTATATTGGGTATCACTTCACCTTTATTGTAATGATTGTAAAGAATATATGTATAAGCCAGATCGAATGTAATTGAAAGTTCTTAAATTAGCGAGACCTAAAAAAATTAAAACAAAAACTGTCGTCAGAACCTTTGTAATCAACTTTGGGACGGCTCTACTTGCTCGATGCCCTAGATGGACTGCAGCGCTACGCCTTCCGTGTTGTCAACGATCCTCATATAACTGAGCATGCGGAGTCGTTACTTCGCAGATATATAGCGTCTCTTAGCGTATTCTATCGCCTGTACCACGGTGAGTGCTCTGAAGAGTTATTCAACCTTATCCCTTCCTCTGCTTTCCATCAGCGGACCACCCGTGCCGGACTGCGTTGCCACAGTTGGACGGTCAGTTCAATACCGTCCCGCACTAAAAAGTTTGGCATTCGTTTTTATGCCGAACCATCAAATTGTGGAACCAACTCCCGGCGCATGTATTCCCTCCCCTTTATAATATCGGGTCCTTCAAACGTAGTGTGAAGAAGCATTTGGCCAGACCGGCAAAATGATAGTGACGGAGTGAAGATATTTGTGTTTTCCATCCGTTACTCTCATCTCTGGACTGTATTCGCACTTTCCATCAGGCGCGGTGCAGTCATTTTGCCGAGTCACAATAAAAAAATTAAAAAAAAAATTGTTTTACACTTTACCTCTCTTACACATACTTTTCCAAACAGCGTATATCACTTTGCATTATCCTTACAATAAAAATGGACGTACTTATAACTTTGGCGCAAACTAATGATTTACATCAAATCACAGAAAATCAAATTATGTAAATATTTTTTTCCATCCAATTCAATATTATGTTTTATTCAAAGAGTAATCAAATTACATAATGAAATATTCACACTGAGAACGTACAGGAACTCTAGGTGTTGTTCTTTGTAAATAAACATTTGTACACATTTATCATTTGTTTACAATATTTGCTACTCATCCAAAGTACGCAAAAACTATAGTTTTAAACCCCGCAAACGAACTATTTTTAATATCAACCAAAATCTTATTATACAGGCGTATATATTGCTCTATATTTGTATCTTTATGAAGAAGACCAAACAAGGCAGTTTATTTTTATTCCTCTTTTTTATTTCTCCTTTTATTGACGTTAATAAAGGGTACAATAAATAAAAATAGGCAATAAACAAATTGTCTATAAATAAACCTATATAACATTTCCTTAATGTATCACTAAATGAAACATGCTCACGAAGGCCGTATTGGCACACCCCGATTCAATTGGAACTCGAAACAGTATTAATTTATATTCCTAGGACTATAAATCGTCAATCTAGTTTAAGATTGATTGCTTTATTAATCAGAAGACTTAGGACAGCGAACGACCTAGTTGTCTTAGGGCACCACAAACAAACTTTATGAAGAGACTTTAAATTCTGCTTTTAGACATGTGGTACATTAATTAACGGTCTGGAAGTCTTTAAAAAGGCCTATGCTGATCGGAGCAAGGGCAATTTGTTCAGTTGAGGATTTTCGGATGCAACCCGATTGCTTGTAGTGTAATTCAAATTATGACCCACCTGACATCGTGCTGCATGTGCCCTATCATCCACATGCTTGAACATTTAATAGCGGCTACTAATTGCAGTCAGCGTAAATACATTCTAGGCTGCAACAATGTAGGCTATGCCATCAAAGTCAAAGTCAAAGTCAAAGATTATTTATTCCATAGGTAAAATAAATTTACACTTGAAAACGTCACATTTAAGCTACTGCTCGTTCACTACGCTGACCTCCCTGAGAAGAACGAGCAAGAAACTCTAGAGATTGCTGTTTTCAAATAAACTTAAATGTTATGGAATACACTTTGAATCAAATTTGTGTGGATTCTCGAGCCATGTCGTCTTTCCATACATCTTTATCTAACACGTAGTCTTCAATTTTGTAACATGATTTTTCGATCAACATATTTTTAATGTAGTTTTTAAACTTAGGAAATGATAAACTTAATATATGCTCCGGAATCTTATTGTAAAAACGTATACAGTTCCCCATAAAAGAGTTGTTTACCTTGGTTAAACGAAATCGTGGTACATTGAGTTTGGATTTAGCTCTAAGGTTAATATTATGGATATCTTCTTTCCTATTGAAATTATGTATATTTTTATGGGCATATAAAATATTTGAGTAAATGTACTGTGATGCCACAGTCATGATACCAGTCTCCTTAAACGTTTCTCTGAGAGAAACCCGAGAGCCTAGACGGTACACAGAACGAATCGCTCGTTTTTGCAATACAAATATGGTTTAAATATCCGCCGCTTTACCCCACATGAGAATCCCGTAGGACATGATACTATGGAAGTAACTAAAGTAAACTAGTCTAGCAGTACTAACATCGGTAAGCTCACGTATTCTGCGGACTGCGTATGCAGCGGAGCTTAATCATCTGGCCAGGGAAGATACATCGACATGATAGACGATAAATATTCGAGGTGAAAAGATTATGTATAACACGAAAAATACACATTCTCGATAACATTGAACTTAAAATTATTGAATAATTGAGATGTGATGTTGGCGTCGCCTATCAAGGATTCCCTGGACTGCGCATCGTACGAACGTATCCGTCCTAGAAGAATTGCAGTTGCAAAATCACAAACACTTATCTTCCGTCTGTTTGCCCGCATTTTGCAGTTCTTTGGTCACATTGCACGCAGAAGCGCTAGACCGTGATTGTTACGGGCAGGATTGAAGGCAAACGACCTAGAGGTCGGAGTTCGCATCGATGGTGTGACCAGGTGGCTGAAGGTCTAGCAATAACAGTGAGCGTCGCATTCCACCTAGCCAAACACGGAGTGCAGTGGAGAAGATTCATTGACGGTGTACTTCATCAAAGTCACGATCCTATGCTGTGAGGGACCGACAGAGGAGGAGGAGGAACATGTTTCTTATTTGATCTTACCTGTAAAAAGTGTACTGATTATAATTGGGGTGTTGAGCAACCTCGCAATAGACCCAATTTTAGGTTACGAAATTAGTTCAAAAAGCTTTGTAAGACGCAAAACTTCTCATAAGCCGTTTATTCGTTTTAATTCGAAAACTTTTGTTCGATAAAACTAATGATTGACAATTAGTTCAATTAGCCAGGTAACTACTTCATAAACCACTTTATTACGTCTCATCTAAGCGAGCATTAGTAGCCCAGAGAGGCGGCACGTGCTTATGATTTTAACTTCTAAGTTAACGTACATTTGTAAGTGTTTAGTAGGAATACCTGTCTCTAACGGTGAATGAAAACATCGTGAAGAAATCTGCATTGTTAGCCGACTAAAAAAAAAGGCAAAGTTATTATTTTTTTGTTCGAAAGAGGATACATCAATATTGGTCTCATTTAAGAGGGAGCATGCCAAAAAAGTTTTGACGTTGGCTCCACCCAAATTTGTGAAACAAATATATGCCTGAAGTTCGCGTGACATGCGACAGGAGATGTTGAATTTTGCGCATTAAAAGTACCAAATTCGTTTTAGCGGAATAACTCTAAAACTAAGGGGATTAAAAAAAGTCCGTAGTGACAGTTCTCGATCATGCATAAATATAATTAATTATCTAATTTTTGTCCTAATACCTGTAGCATTTCGAGAATGAATCGAAAAAATGTGAAAATTAGAGGTCATTTCGTGATTTTTATCTATCGAGGAAACTTTATTGTTTTATGTTTTTGATTAGTGTCTATGCTTGAATATATCGTGTAGTTACTCATACAATATTTTATTTTTAACTTTAAAGTGGATATACTCCTCTAAAATCAAATCGAAGATTAGGAAATTTTCCTCTGCTCCTTCTTAAGTTCTGTTTTAAAATGTTTACGCCCCGTTTTAAAATTCAATTTTCGTTTTAACTAAATTGAAGTTAAAATACGGTGTAAATATTTTAAAA